ATCATCAACAAAATCAGGTTCAAATGCCAGACCTGTTCTTATTTTTTCAGTCCCCCACACTGACACTACAGTTGAATGGAAGACGCTCTTTGGCACACGTCACTATAGGCACCATTACTGTTCACTTCTTTAACCTACTCAAAAACATTACTATAGCTACACTAAACTACTTGAAGTTGTGTACCACTGAGTCAGAACTGACTCATAGCTCTAGAGGGTTTTCAGAGGCAATAAATCATATGGAAGGAAACTACCCATCTTCCTCCTCAGGAACAGGTGGCAGATTTGAACTGTATACTTTTGGGTTAGTAGTGTAACTTCTTACCAGTAAGCCACTTGTTGATATTACATGCCCTTGAGTTGACTGTGACTCCAAGCAACCCTATAAACAGATCTGAACCCTGCTTTATCCTATTGGCTTTATCCTCACCATCTTTAATGCACTTGAGCCCATTGCTACTGTCACTTCGTCAATCCAGTTCATTGAGGGTCTTCCTCTTAATTAACCTTCCTTTTCAAGCACGTTTTTCTTCAAAGACTGGTCCCTCTTAACAACATTTCCAAAGTACGTGAGACAAGATTTGCCGTCCTTGCCACCAAGGAGTAGCCTGGTTTCACTATTTCCAGTACAGACCTGTTTGTTCTATTCGTAGTTCACAGGATAATTCAGTCCTCTTCTCCAACACCACCACTCAAATGCATCACTTCTGTCATTTTTAGTCATTATCCTACTTTCAAATGCTTATCAAGCAACTGAGAAAACCATGGCTTGGATCAGGCACACCTTAGTCGAAAGGTCCTCAACAAATTTTCCCAAGGGGACTTGTCTTTTGATTACTTGACTGCTGGAATCAAGGGTGTTGACTACAGAACCAGGTAAGATAAACTCACTTACTTCAATCTCTTCTCCATCTGTCATGATGTTGACTACTGGCCTGGTGGGGAGGATTTTTGATTTCCTGACTTTTAGATATAATCCATCTTGAAGGCTGCAGTCTTTGATCTTCTGGAACAACTGCTTTTAAGTCCTCCTCATTCTGTCATCTGCATAGTGCAGGTTAGGTTAATGAGTCTTCCTCTGAACCTGATGCCACCTTCTTCATAAAGTATGGCTTCTTGAATGATTTGTTCCGCATATAAAATTAAACTAAAATACTAGAGCACCGTAAATTATTTTAAAAATCCCAGCAAATTATTCTGTGTCCTAACAAACAGCATGTCTTCACAAACAACATGCTATTAGGATAGAGACCACAAATGGCAGTTCCTTTGGTCTAAAATAGTTTGGCCTGGTTCATTACCTACCTCATTTCTTCAAAATTAGTTTAAACAGCACTTAATCTAGGAAGCCCTGTGACCCCCTCATGCTTCTGATACAGAGCCCTTCCTTAGTGTGTCTATGCTTATTTGTGACTTAATACTTGGGGTACAGGGGGCTCTGGTGGGGTAGACTGTAGGGAGCTGCACAAATCCAAGGTCACCCCTCTCTGGCGGTGTGGATCTACCAAGAATGCTGCAGACAAAGGTGAAAGTCGCCTCCAATGTGATTTACTGCTTCCAAAACCCAGTGGTGGATCAGCTATAAGTTGGTTAAGACTCAACAGGAGAGGGTTGTTTTAAGATACTGAATATAGTGATTAGCATGCCACTTGAAACTTGGGATGCAGGTATCATTTGTCATTTTCTTGGACTGGATTTGACATATATTTTGAATTGGATATAGAAATATAGGAAAAAAGAAAAAAGAACCAAGGATGAATTCTAGGTTTTTAGTCTAACAAAGATAATGCATGCATGGATTAACAGCATTCAACAAAAAAAATGGAGGAAAATGATTTATTTATTCTGGTGGAGAGGTTAGAATCACTGTTAAATTTGAGAGGGGGCATGTGACAAGATAAACTAGTGTCATAAGCATATCAGTGGTCTTCAAAGATCTGCAATGCTATCTAGGGATACTGTGTGGATAAAGTAAGGAAGTTTAAAAAACAAAACTGTTTAAGAAGGGGTAATGCTGAACTGGTATGATATACCACAATGTCCAAGATAGTCTGAAGGAAAATCACTGGATTTGGCAAATATGGAAGTCATCAGAGATTATGAAGGAGTCTTTGAATGGTGCAAATGGCTAAAGAGCTTGGTAACTAGTTTAAAGGTTAGAGTTTCACAACAGCAAAGAGTTGGAAACAACCTAAGTGTCTATCAACAAACGAATGGACTGAGAAGCTATGGTATATACACACAATGGAATACTACGCTGCGTTGAAAATCAAGGAACTCATGAATTATACAAAATGGGTGACCCTGGAAGATAGCACGCTAAGTGAAATATCTCAGTCACAAAAGGACAAATACAGCATAGTGCCACTGTTGTAAAAATGGAACTGACATCGCGGTTGGGGGGAGACTGAGAAAGATGGGATAAATTACATATACAGCATTGAAACAGATAAGGGAGAGAACTGTTTAAAAGGTATATATGGTTAGGTATTATTGTCATGACAGGAGTCCAGATGGAAGGCTGCATACTGGAGTGGACTTGCGGGGAGGGATTATATAACAATGAAAGAATTTTTCTTTTACTTTCCAAAAAGTGTGAACTGGGGGGAACGGTGAGCAAGGTGAAAAGTGCAACAATGAACGAACGGAAATCCAAAGTCTCTGTAAACTTTCACTAAAATTAATAATAATTTAAAAAAAAAAAAGGTTGGAGTTCACCCAAAGTTATTAAAGAAAAAAGGCCCGTCAATCTACCTCTGAAAATTAACCACTGGAAAGTGATGGAACACAGTTCTACTCTGATACTCAAAGAAATGTGACTGAGTCAGTTCCTATTTAACAGAAAAAGGTTGGATTTATTGAGTCAGTCACTAGGGAGTGCAGTTAAACACCATCCAGAAGGCTAACAGTTTAAACTCACCCACAGGTCTCAGAAAGGCCCAGATGACTTCTTCCAAAATGTCACAGATCTGAAACCTCTATGGAGCACTATTCTACTCTGAACACAGAGGGTCATCACGAGTTAGAGTCAACTCAACAGCAATGGGTCTGGATGGGTGCAAGACCCTGACCAGAACAAGTACAGAAGAAAGAAACCAGATTGGGAGTGTGCTGAAGAGAGAATGGCTACAAGGGGACATAGAAATAACACTCTTGAGAAATTTTATTGTGGAAGAAGTAAGAGAAAGTGATTTGGCAGCTGCACAGTGGGGATATGTGATCAAGATGGAAAAATTGCAAAAGCCGTTCCATACATTATACTTTTAGACATTTATTGAAGTGATTCCCACCCTTATGCCCCTTCAGAATGCTTTCATCAATTACAGGAGTTCCTGGAGAGCAGAATTTTCAATTTTTAAATTCTTCTCTGCATCATGAATTCTTAATCCAGCTGTCTAGAACAAATTAGCAGGATTGGTAAACGCTAATCCAAGAAATTTGGTAGAGAGGAAAGTGCAATAAACAGAATTATACTCATGAAAGTTTGAACATTAGTTTTTGCACTAATGACATGCCATGCAGTGGAAAGTTAACTATTTTGCTTTCTCAGAACCTCAGGGTTATTTTTTTCTTTTATTTTTTTGAGTATTTTGTTGTGGTTTGGATGAATGTTAGTTTCCCATACAACGTTTTCCATGCTTTTGCTTCATGATGTCAGCTAAATTTCCTCTAATGTGTTAGCACTCTTCTCACTTCTTGCCTGGGTTCCTTGTTTCTGCTAATTCATCGTTCCTGTAGGGAGCTCCGGGGCCTTAGTGGTAAAGAGTTGTGTTGCCAACTTAAAACCCGAGGTTTGAATCTACAGGAGAAAGATGGGCAATTGCTTCCCAGTGCCATTTACAGCTTCTGAAAACCCGCAGATGGGCAGTCAAGTCAGCTCTGACTCAACAGCAATGAGCAGTATCTTTCCTGTGTCTTCCTGTCTGCTGAAACTTGTATTATGCTGACTGTTCTTACAGGTGAATTTGGTTCATTCTTCTCCCACTCTGTTCAGAACCTTCTACTATGATCCCCATCCAAGTGACTCGTGGTGGGAGGCAAGTATCATCTAGTTCTGGTCTCACACTCTATTTTCTTATTGGTATAAAACACTTATTTTGCTGGAATGCTGTAGACAATTATATGAAAAATTGCAATATGTTATCTAGCACAGTGCCTCATTCAAGCACGTGCAAATAGTATTATTCTTTTTCATAGCAGGAAAATGTAAACAGTTACATATCACACAAACTTGTTAGTACATATACTGGGAAGTAAAACAAACTAGGTTTTCTAAGAATTTCATTAGGTGTCTTATAGTGGTAAATGTTAAATAGCTAAAAATATAATCCCCTAACATACCACACCACTAGCCTTTCATATTAGCTAACTTCTTCCAGGAAGCCTTCCCTGATATTCCAAGTCTGGCCTAGAAGCCTCTTCATTGTGCACCTAACATTTCCATTAAAGTACAAATACTTGAATTGTCTTGTTTATATTTCCCACAGAACTTTGTGTTTTGAGGGAGATACACAAATGTCAATCATATAAATACCATATTTCCTGTTTAGTTCACCAATTCTTCATATTTTCCCAAGCCAAAATACAGACATATGGTGGCAAAGCCCAATAACCTACCAGTCATATGGTATGAGAGGCATGCTGGGGATATTAGTAGCAGGTCCTGTTTTCTCATGAGACATTGTCTGAGACTTCAAGTAGGACAAATAAATAAGTCTGGAGGCAGGGGGTTGAGGATGATATGACAGGACACTGGACTAGCTCCATTTGGAAGCCTAGAATGATAACATAATGCAGCCCTAACTGACACAAGCAAGTAACTGCTTGTCAAACAATCAGAGTGTTGACATCTCCTAGCAACGATCTATGGAAAGAACTTTAACTTTATTGTAACTAGTGGTTAGGGGCAGAGACTGCCTCAAACATCACCACCAGCAGAGCCTGAGCAGAGAAGAACCTCTGTACTACTCAGAGTACCTTTTCCAATGAGATGTTAAAGCATGGTGGATTACTATGAAGTTCTAGGAGTACAGAAATATGCTTCACCTGAGGACATTAAAAAGGCTTATCACAAAGTAGCACTTAAATGGCACCCTGACAAAAATCCTGAAAATAAAGAAGAAGCAGAGAGAAGATTTAAAGAAGTAGCTGAGGCATATGAGGTGTTATCAAATGACGAAAAGCGAAACATTTATGACAAATACGGCAAAGATGGACTAGATGGTGGAGGTGGAAAGAATTTTGATGATTTTTTTGAAAGTGGCTTCAGTTTCTGTAAGCCAGATGTTTTTAAGCAATTTTTGGACCAGAGGGACCCATTTACATTCGACTTCTTTGAGGACTCACTAGAAGACCTTTTAAATAGTCCAAGATACTCCTATGCAAGCAGAAGGAGGAGTAGAGGGGCAGGATCCTGTTTCTGTACCTTCAGTGAATATCCAACTTTTGAGAGCAAATTTTATTCACATGGTCCAGGATACACATATGATGTGTATGAGGACTTTACTGGGCCCGAAGGCCTTACTTCATTCTCTTCAATGGCATTTGATGACAGCGAGATGGACAGCTATGTATCTTTCACAAATTCAGACAGATTAGCTGATGGCAGAAATTTCAACATAAAGACAATAATCCGGAATGATCAAGAAGAAGTTATAGATGATGGTGAATTAAAGTCCTTCCTGAGAAATGGGGTGGTAGATGAAGAGGACATTGTGGAAGAATGCAGCTGTGGAAGACAGTCATTCAGCAAACATGCATCCAATTCCTACAGTCCAAGACATGCAGCCCAGTATATTTTTGTGGACAATGACGAGCATGGGGAACCTAGGGTCATCAACAGCTGGGACCCTTCCATTTCGTCAACAGGATTCAAAGATGGTGGTAAGAGGAAAAAGAAAAAGCATAAAGAGGTAAAGAAGAAGTCAACCAAAAGGAAAAGCTAAATGTACTCAAGACACATTACGGTCATAGAACATTTGAATACAATTCTGTGTGTGCTTTGATTAATCAAGGTTTTATAGATAATGTTTACAATCACATTAAGATTGCATTTATTATACTGTTAGCAGGACTGTGGACATGTGGACGGGGTTGTTTAAATTACGTCAGAAACAGCTGAGTTTACGTGACTGTAGATGATGATACGAATATGTAAACAGCAAGGTTTTCTTTTAAATTAGGCTTTGAGTTAAGTATTTGAATATAAAAAAAAACTTCCTTTACAGAGCTCAGCATCTATTTTATTAATTATAACCAATCAAAGTATTTTATAAATATAATTATAGCATTATAAGATAAAACATACACAGGCCCTAACACAGCATGGCCAAGTCCATGGGGGCCACCCTTTGTTCTCTACCTCATGTGACATCTCGAGTCCTCAGGCCTTGTCCCTTCATACCCTGTCCTCCAGCCAGGACCTCACAAGGCTGCGCTACATCATATTTAAAAAAGAAATAGTAATTGTAAAATGTATCTCAGTAATTTTGACCATTCATAGTAAAATACAGAAATATTGTTTTGATTTTTCTCTTGATATTTTTAAATAGTTCAATTTCTTTAAAAAATATATAGGTTCAGACTATATAGATATTTAAGGAATGATTTCTTTCCCCTGGTAAAATGCATTTGACATAAAACTTAGAAATGCCACAAAAATTAAAAAGTGAAGTACATCCTCTACATAAAAAACTAGCATATTTAACTGGCACTTCTCAGAGAAGCCCAAATGTACTGTGTGTAGTAGGTCATCAGCAAATCACTCTAGAAGAGAAGCTTTCTCTATAGTTTGGATTATGAATACAGCATCTACAAATACATCTCTTTAAAACAATCTTGGTTTTGTTAGGTGTCAAGTCAACTCTAACTCAAAGTAACCATATGGACAACAGAACTTCAGCCATTCTGATTTGCACGCATGATGAAAAAAACAGCTGTCCTACATAGAAATCACATACTGAGCAAGTGGTTTGCTGCTAAATATTTACACACATTTCTTTCAAACTGAATCATGTTGAATTCAAAGCTATTATGTCTTGTTGTGTACTGTCAAACTGAAGCTGACCCACAGGTAACCCTCCAGCAGGTTTTCAGGGGCAGGAAACTGCATGGGAGAAGATTGCCCATCTTTCTTGCTCAGAGACGCTGGTGGTTTCACTGTGTATCTTCGCATTGGCAGCACAATTCCTTACCACTTGGCTTCCAGATATTCCTGTCCACCACTGCTCCCTGCAATTTTGTCTTAACTAACTGTGAAATCACTTAATTTTCCCCAACATATTGCTTCAAAATCTTCCGTTTTCAGTCGTGTGATCAACAAATATTTTCAGAACACTTGCTCTGGTGCTTTGACAATAATGAACAAATCGGCAAAATATCTTGTCTTTCCAGAGCTCAGAAACAAGAGATACAAGTATTAAGCCAAACATAGCCTGTTAATCCTAAACGCTAGAGAAAAAAAAAAACAAAAAACAGAGGAAACAAATTGGAAGTTTTGGGATTGATGGAAATTTTACTTAAGGTAGCCAGGGAAAGTGATGGTTGGAAATGAGTGAAGATCTAAAGAAAGAGAGGTAATGGATTAGGTGGTGGAAAAACATTCTAGGCACAGAGAAGCCCAAGTGCAGTATTTCTAAAGCCTGTGCTAGGTATGTTTGAGAAATATGGGGTGGAGAGAGAGACTAGCATGGCAGATTAAGAGGGAGTTAATGACACCCGAGAGAATCCAGGTCAACAGATTATACCAGGCTGTCAGAGCACAGTAAGGGGGGCTCCAGTGGCCTAGTGGGTAAGGAGTTGTGCTGCCAACCAAGGCAGGTGGCTCAAATCCACCAGGAACTCCACAGGAGATGGGCAATTTCCTTCCACATGATTGACAGCCTCTGAAAGCCCGCTGGAGGGTCAGCTAAGACTTGGTTCCAATTTGACAGCAGTTGAGCGAGAGTTATTCTGCTAACCCAAAAATGGCACCTCTGGTTCTGAGGGAGAATGAAGTGTAGTCTCCTCTCATGCAACTGATAGCTTTGAAACCTGGAGGATCAATGATGAGTCAAGTCAGACTTGACAGGAATGAGTTTCTAAATTTTCAATGAGATCACAGTATGGACTTTGATTTCTGTTGCAAGTAGTACAGGAAGTCACTGGAGGTTCTGAGCAAAGGTGACATAATCTGACTTATATTTAAACAGGCCCACTCTGGTAGAGTTAGTTGACAACAGACTAAAAGTAGGGATACAAGTAGGGAGATCAGGTTGTTGTCACACCCAGGTAAGAGAATTTAACAGGAGGCAGCCTCGAGGTGTAGCCTGTTACCTGTTGTAGAGCTAACTTGCTTGGCCCATTGTGGTGGCAGAGGGTATAGTGAAGAGTAATAAAATCTGGACTCTATTTTAAAGGTGCGGGAGAAGGATGGGCAATCTCTTCCCATGCAATTAACTGCCTTTGAAAGCCCACAGGAGGGTCAGCTATGGGTTGGTTCTGACTCGAGAGTACACAACATTTTAAAGGTATGGATGGGAGGCCATGCTGACAGATTGGTTGTTGTGTACAATAAAAAACAAATATTAAGTCTATGAAACTAGAAGAATGGAGTTATTATTCCATGAAATAGAGTTGCAGGTAATACAATTTAGATATGATGTATTTATGATGTCTCAATTTCCTGAGAACTAGAGCTTCTGGCATGTCCTGTCACTGAAAATTTTTTTTAAGGAAAAAGTTCTGCTGCTGTTGCTGTTAGGTGCCATCGAGTCACGTATGACTCATGAAAACAGATCTGAACCTTGCCCTATCTTGAACCAGTCTCATGCCAGATCATAGTTAGGGACCTCAAGTCAAAGATCTATTGATCATCATCTTTTTTTCTTACAAGTGTAAGATTTACCATAAATTTTAATGTGACTCAAAGATGCCAGTGAGTAATCTAGCAGTACTAAAATCCCTACTGGCTTACTACACCATTAGCAATGCAAGAAATTTGGAAGCCAGGAAATACTGATAGCTATCACAAAGAATGATAAATGATCAAATAAACTATACTTATTATAAATAATGTTTTGTTTGTTCTTCAGTAGGCGGGAGAAAAAAGGTTGTTTATTCAATAAGAGGGCTGGGGACAATTAACTTTAAAAACTTACTCTGGGAAAATAAAATCAACATAAATAAGTAAGGGTATTTTAAACATAAAAAGGCAATGTTCTGCAATTATATGTATAAATTATTCAATATTTTTTTAAAAAATGTAATTTTTCAAAACAAAAAATAAGTATCCCTAAAAATTTAAAAATACCCTACAGTCCACCTACTCATGTTCAGATTTGATATTTCTCAAAAGCTTAAACTTAAATGGTTTTCAACTGCTTAGAAAGAGAAAGCCTATTGTTTCTTAGTGTACAAGGCCCACAAGTCAGTCATTACCTTTATCTTACATTTGAGCCCTGCCTGCTTTTTAAAAATTGTGTTTCAAGTAAAATCAGCTCAAGACTTACTACAAAAAAAAATGTTCCACGGTCTACCACATTTTTGCCAGATTGCTCCTAAAAGCTGAGAATTAGTCAAATGGACACTATGAAATGCCAAATTCCCCATAATCATTTAACTAAGAATCTTTTTGGTATAGTATTTTTTAATATGCCCAGGAACATATTTTACAAAAACTCTTCTAAGCATGTGAGGGAGCTCTGGTGGCCCACTGGGTAAGAAGTTGTACTGTCAAACCAAAGGTACACAGTTTGAACTCCCAGTTTCTCCACAGGAAAAAGATGGGCAGTCTCTTCCTGTGTGTCTTACAGCCTCTGAAAACTTGCTGGAGGGTCAATCATGAGTAGGTTCTGTGTGGGGTTTTTGTTGTTTTCTAACCATTTGAATGTGGCATCAGGATTGAAGGAAGACTCCTCAACAAACTGCATTAAGTAGATGACACAACCTTATTTGTTGAAGCTGAGGAGGGCCTTAAGTATTTGCTCCAATGTCAAGGACTGTAGCCTGCAATACAGACTGAAGCGCAACATCAAGAAAACAAAGATTTTCGCCACTGGACCAACTTGCAGCATCATGATAGATGTAGAAGAAATGGAAACTGTTAACAATTTCAGCTTGCGCCGTCATGTGATCAACACTCTTGGCACCAACAGGAAATCAAAAGATGAATTGCATTTGAAAAATCTGCTATCAAGGACCTCTCCAGAGTGGTAAAGAGCAAGGCTGTCAGCCCAGAGACAAGGTGCACCAGATTCAGATGACTGTCTTCGCAATCACTTGCTATGCATCAGAGAGCTAGATAATAACCAAGGATGAGAGAATTGATGCTTTTAAGTTGTGGTGCTGGAAAACAGTACTGAACGTGGACTGCAATGGACTGCCAAGAGAACTAACAGATCTGTCCCAGAAAGGATAAAACCAAGCTGTTCCTCAGAGGCAAGGGTTTTGAGACTCCATCTCATATACTCTGGGCATGTAGCCAGGGGACTAATCTTTGGAGAAGGGTATCATGCTTGGAAGGGTCGACGGACAGCGCAGGAGAGGAAGATCCTAGATAAGATGGACACAGTAACTGGGGTAATGAAGGTAGGTGTTTCAGAGATAGTGAGATTGGCTCAGGATAGAGCGGGGTTCACAGCTATTGTGCATAGGGAAGCTATGAGTCGAGGTTGACTTGAGAGCATATAAAACCACCATGTGAAAGGTACTGGCCATTGTTTTAGATTTCTGTGCTCTGCCTGCCTTGGCTGGCTCTTTTCCTCTAGTCTACTCCGTGAAAACATTCATTCAAGTCCTCTAGATTAATAGCTCTTAATCTCTAAAAGTATGCTACTTTTCTTGTCCTTGGTAGATACAGGAAGTATCTATCCTTCTTTACACAACTGAATTTCTATTACAGGCTGTTTTTTGTTTGCCCTTCAACTGATTCCAACTTATGGCAACCCACTAGGTTTAGCATGTCCTATTAAAATTATTTACCTACTTGTGTCCCCTGAGGGTAGAAACTTCTTGGGATGTCTTCAGGTTGAGTATGACCATACTTACCCTATGAACAACAAATCTGAACACTGTGCTATTCTGTGCCATACTCACACTTTCTGACACATTACAGCCTATTAGGACAGTCACCGTGTAAATACACCTGGTCAAGGATCTTCCTCTCCTTCACTGACCCTTTCCCTTTCAAAGCATCATGTCCCTCTCCAAGGAATCGCCCCTCTGAGCAACATGCCCTAAGTATGTGAAGCAAAGCCTCATCATCTTTGCCTCCAAAGAATATTCTCGCTGCACTCTTTCCAAAACCTATTTTCGTTCTTTTGACAGCCCATGGGATGTTCATTATTCTTCTCCAATTCTACAGCTCAAAGGCATCAATTCTTCTGTCATCTTTATTCACTGTTCAGCTCTCAGATGCACAGCAAGTGACTGGAAAGATGATGGCTTGAATCAAGCACACCTTAGTCCTCAAACTGACATCACTACTCCTGAATAATTTGGAGGTCTCTAACTGCAGATCTTCCCACTGCAATACATCTCCTTATTTCCTGACTGCTGGTACCAAGGGTGTTAACTGTGGATCCAACCAAGACAAAGTTGTGGACAGTTTCAGTCTTCATCTACCATGATGTTATCTATCGGTCCAGTGGTAAGAGGGATAACTTAGAAGACTATATTGTGTTAACAGCTGCATAATAGGATTAATGAAATCTCACTTTGGCCAGGTTAATCTTTAGCTAGTCAATACATTTTTCACTTCAGAAATGGACATCCTGATAGATAGTTTCCTGTGATATTCAATTCTTTGTACTTAAGAGCTTTTCTAGAGAGGAGGAACTGAGAATGCCACATTTCTAATTTAAAAAAAAATTTTTTTAAATTTTTTTTTTTTGCGTGTGTACCATCAAATCGGATCTGACTGGTACAGGAGGAGATTGTCCCTCCTTCCCCCACAGAGCATCTGGTGGATTTGAACTGTGCGCCTCTGGGATTGCAGTGCAGCTTCTTGCCACTAGGCCACCAGAGCTCCCTTAAAATGCCACATTTCTGTTTCAGCTGCTCAAGTCAGTAGAATTTTAAAACTTTACCACTTAATAAAAGGACGGTATTAACAGTATTTATAATTTGTCATCACCGCATTTCCTAAGCTCCATACCACTTTCCTATACAAGTCTTTTGGTTGTCTTCCTCTCTCTGACTAGATTGAATTACTCTAGTAATGGGAAGCTACATCCATGTAAGTTAATGGGTCATTCTTTCTGATCCCCTGAATGAATGAAACCAAGGTAAGATTTAATGGTGGTATAATAGAAAAAGATCCCAGCATGTTAGTCTGAGATTCTGTGTTTCTGCTTTTTAGAAATAAAAGGGAGCTATCTGCCCTAACTTACTGACTTTCCAAGGAGATAATTCAGTGAGAAAGTCACTATGTTATTATCGTTATTGTACCGTCGAGAGTTGGAACTGATCTCCAGCGTGTTTTCAGTTGCTAGCTGCAACTGTGAACTACAGGCCTTTGGGATTGCAGTACTGCTGCTTGCCATTAGGCTACCAGAGCTCTCGGGGTACTGGGCTGTTAAATTTATTAATTCATGGAGGCAAACCGAAACATAATATTTTTCAAATGTTTTGGAATGTGTAATCAAAAGTCTAATCCTAAACCTTAATTATGTATTACAAATTCCAAGATTTTTATACAAAGCCCCTACAATTCTACAAACAGACATGTAAAAGATAATTCTGGCTCAAAATCATAGGTATGTGACATATGTGACCCACAGTCAGGGGCCGCTTTCTGTAGCCTTATTACTAGAACTGAAGAGCAAGTTCTGCGCATTGGACAACTATTCATTTTTCTTTTTCATAGTAAAAGCATAGTCCTGACAAACACTCCAATCTTAATGAACTAAAACGTCAACCTAAGAAACGTATGACTAGACATAGCTTTAATGACAAATAATCTTGGTTCACACACTAACCACAAATTTATTCCCCACAATTAAAGTACGATGCAACTGCACATTCCCCTGCAAGGCTGATGTTTCCACTTCACTGATCAAGCTCTATGTCCATCAGTTTAATTGCTCTCAATACAGAACTAATTTTTAATTTTTTTTTAAGGAAGTCTTATCACTGGGCTCCTTTGTCTCGTTTTCCCAAATTGGGCTTTCGAAAACAAAAACCAAACCACCCCAAACCCGAGTGCATTTTCCAACAGTGCCTCTTTTGAGAGGAACTGCGCAAAGGATTTGTGTATTAACTTTCACTTTCTTCTATATTCTGGAGCCAACTCTTAAACTCTTGAAATGCACGAAAACAGGGTTTTAGAGAAACTTAAAACAAGAACTACATGACTTTGTTATTAAGCCAGTGTAAAAACTGACACAACTTTTTAAAGTCCGAGAAACTCTGCAGACTTTTTGCTGGGGGATGGCATACACGTTTCTCGCTGCAGCCATTTCCCAGGTTACCTTAACCCTAGACAGAGCACCTTTTCCAAAGAGCAACAAGGAAAAGCGCGCAGAGCACATAGACCCTTTTGAAGGGAAGGGCGCCAGCAAAAGAGAGACGGCTGAACCGGTGTTCGCCTGAAATCAACTTGGATTCTTCTGAGATGCCTCGGGCTTTTCAGCAAGTTTCGGGGGGAAGAGGGAGACACTGGGGGAATAAAGGCTAACCTGAGAGGCCACGGGCACTTGCTACGGCGGGCACCAGCTTAGAGGCCAAGAGCGGGCAAGGCATGGCGGGTATCACCCACGAGTCAGGAAGGGAAGAAATCAAAACCACGGGGAAAACCGCAGCCAGCGAGGCCGCGTCGCCAGGAAACCGGGCAGCAGCCCCGCCCCTTCCGGAAGACGCCGCTCGCTGGCCTTTCCTTCCGCCGCGGCGCAGCGTGTTGACGTCATGCCCAGCGCCGAGGCTGCCTTTTCGACCGGCCGGCCCTAATTGCGTCATGGCGTTATGCTCCCGTTGATGCGCATCCTCAAAGAATGTCCTATTCCGAATGGCTCCCTTGAGGGGCTCATGGCTCCCGCCATTTGACATGGCCAATGTAGAGGTGTCACCCATCCGATGAACCCGCACCTGCGTAGAGAAGCAGGCAACAGCATGGACAGCCATGCTTCTAGAAGGTTCTAGGCAGTGCGCAGGAGCGCAGATGGCGGGGGTAGACCTGAGCGAGCGAAGGACCCGGGGTCACGAGACTGTCGGGTGGGCGGAGCCAGCGGCCGGGGAGGTTCTAGTGTGTTCTGCCTCGCGGCCCCCGCCCCCTTGTGCACGGTCACGCTGAGCCAGCGCCCGGGCCTGGAATCGGCTCCTAGTCGCCGCCGCGCCCTCCACCTCCTGCCCCCTGCGGATCATGGATCCCCGCAAAGTGAGCGAGCTTCGGGCCTTCGTCAAGATGTGTAAGCAGGACCCTAGCGTTCTGCACAGCGAGGAAATGCGCTTCCTGAAGGAGTGGGTGGAGAGGTGAGACCCAGGCCCGAGGACCGTTGGGGGTGGCCGGCTGGAGGGCGGAGCTGGGCCGCCGCTGCTGCGGGGCCGAGGCGAGGGCTGCACAGCGGCCTGGGCGAGCAGGGCCGCGCGGGCTGGGGGAGCAGCAAAAGTAGTGGTGGGGGCCTCTTCGATCGGCTACTGGAGGATCTAGGCCTTGGCTGGTAAAAGGGGCGGGAAAGGAGGGAACAGAGCTGGGTTCCTGCACCTTGGCTCGCCGGGAGTTTATCTACATGTTAACCGCTGTAAAAGTGAGAGTGGTGGGGCGAGGTGGGCACCCCAAGACATGCGCGGGATTTGTGAAGCTTTAAATCTGGTGTCCGCCCTAGTCGCATTGGCGCACACCACATGCTTTAAGGGACTGTTGTTTTGAATCGCCAATCACTTATAACTTGTAATTTTAGTAAATTGTTACCAAGTAACTCATTTAATAGGTGCCCAAATTGCTATAATAAAAGTAATCCAGTTTGATTACCATTAGATTCAAAGAGATCGTACTGCGTACGATTGCCTTGGCAGGCACTTGTTAAATGCCGCCATTGGTGGCCATTAGTGTCGATGACGCCTCAAGCACACACTTTTAAAGAAAGGTGATTTTTAGGGCATCAGCGTGCTGCTAGGATTTGTTTGTTATCTTTTTACTCTTGAGTGCTTTGCTATGTGCTCGAAGTTAACTGAATAGTACTTTTCAGTTAGGTGCTGGGAAACAGTCTAATTGGGGACATGGAATGAACACAGACTGTATGTTTTCTTCATTGTATTATAATGCACTTTACAGGAGGCCTGCATGAGGCAGAAGGAGTGAGGGGGAACGATCCCTCCACCCCTTAGATGATCTTAAAAATTAATACTGTGTAACAAATTCCACACTTTCCAATGATGGATACTGTGTAAAAGCATTCTTATGTATGGGTTTGGGGTTTTTTTAAGTGTTATTTTCATGGTAAGAAATAAAACTGACAAGTATTTGAAATAATGTTTTTCTCAGTAAGCTTGGTTTGTTTGTTTTATTTTATTTTATTTTATTATTTGTGTGTACCATCAAATCAGATCTGACTGGTACAGGAGGGGACTGTACCTCCTTCCCCGGGAGAGGATCTGGTGGATTCGAACCGTGGGCCTCTGGGATTGGAGTGCAGCTTCTTGCCACTAGGCCACCAGAGCTCCAGTAAGCTTGTTTTAAGAAGCATAAGTTTAAAAAAAAATCTTAATTGTTGTATGGTGGTAGAATAATTTTTTTAAGAGGTTTCGCAGCTTTTTTCCTTAACTGCTACAAGATGTTTGCCCCAGTTGTATGTGTAAACTTCTGAGGGCATTGAAAGTTAAACTAGTACTCACTTAAAGGTGCATGGTGGTTATAGTGCTTGATGCCGTAAACCGGAAAGGTCATCCGTTTGAAATCACTAGATAGCTCTGTGGAACAAAGATGGCTCCTTGTCTTGGAAAGATTAATAAAACCTTCAAAAACCTGATAGTGGGTTGCTAGGAGTCAAAGTAGACTTCAGAGAAGTGGATTAACTTACAAAGTAAGAGCCAGAACTCAACTTTATTCCTTCCCACTTCCACTCCTGCCCCCACCTGGCCCTTCCATGGGGGGCGAGCTACCATTTTATATCTGTTCTTTATTTACAGGAAAATATATGCATTTTGGTTGGTTTGGAATTTTTTTCTCTATCACAGGCTCCACCTTTCATGAGCTTTACTGTAAATGTATGACTATTGTTAACAACCAACAAGAATTACATGAATTCTTTGTTTTTTCAAGAAGGAAAAGAGCAAATTGTTGTTAAAGAAATGACATTTCCCCAGATTCTGTATTTTTAAAAAAATTTTGAAATTATTTGACTTATTTTTGATAATCATTAAACTGGCAATCTTTTTTTTTTTTTTCCTGAAGTACTGGAACATAAATTTCAGAGCTAGTAATTAAGGCATTGGAAAAGACATCAAGATGAGAACAGTGGTGGATCAGAGAAAGACCCCCCCTCCGCTCAAGATGGAATGATACGGTGACTCTAATTATGAGCTCAAGCATGTCAGATATAGTGAGAATGGTTTAGGGACGAGCCAGGTCAAGAGCTGCAGTTGTTAGGTGCTGTTGAGTGCCTGTGAACAAACAACACACCTGAATCCAGCATGTGCCATTGACATAGTTTCTTGACACACTTGAGCCCATTGTTGCAGTCACCATGTTAGCCCATCTCGTTTGGGATCTTCCTCTATTTCGTTGACCCCTCACTTTTTTAAGAGAGTAGCCTCTGCTAGCTACATGCCTAAAGTATGAGAGATGAAACTTTGCCTGCCATCCTTGTCACCAGTGAGCACTTTGCACCTTTTACAAGATGTACTTGTCTTGGGAGCTCTGGTGGCCTACTGGCAAGAAGCTGTACTGCAATCCCAAAGGTACATGGCTCAAATCCACCAGATGCTATGCCGGAGAAGGAGGGATAATTTCCTCCTGTACCAGTCAGATCTGATTTGATGGTACATGCACACAAAAAAATAATAAAATAAAATTAAAAAAAAAATATTTACTTGTTTGATCTTTTTGCAGTCCATGAGCTATTCAGTACTCTTCTCCAACAACACAACTCAAAGGCATCAGGTCTTCTGTCATCCTAATTTATTGTCCAGTTCTCAGATGCATAACAAATGATTGAAATGACTGTGGCCTGATCAGGTACACCTTAGTCTTTAAACTGACATCCTTGCTCTTCAGTATTTTGGCAAGATCCCTGACAGCAGACTTAAAAAATGCAATATATCTCCTGACTGATGCTACCAAGGGTGTTGATTTTAATAATTCTCTGTATTGAATACGTAGATATTCCAGAAAGCTTACTTAAAACGTACATGCATTTATTCTTTCCTATCTACTTATTAGTGGTAAAGTCTTAAAATTAATGTCATTATTCCTAAAATTTCAGGTAGATCGGACATCTACCACAGGAAGAGATAGCTGTTAACTAAAGGTGAATATTACAATGATGGAATACTACACCATTCCTGATAGAGAGGAAAAGATGACATTGAAAATTAAAACATGCCACGACCAAGGTTTAGCTTAAGTGATTATGGCTTGTGACTGTGTAAGGAATTCTAGGTTAAGCTCCGGAAACTGTTATGTCAGACATTACCACTGCTCTCTGCCCCCCCATCCCCCTGCCCCAATCATGTGTCTTAATTTTAATGGCTCCTGTGGATGGTTTCCGTTTTTCCTTCTGGATTCTGTTTATGATTATCTTGTAACATAGATAACTATAACCCACAGCAGATTTGTATGCTGTCAAATTAAGAAACTTAGGAATGAGGGCCTATGTGATCCCATATGAGAAAGGTTTTTACAACAACCCTGCTCGATTGTATGATAAAAGCCTATAATGTTGGCAGAGTTGATATTTTTTTGCTTTTGTTTTGGTGGGGGAAACTAGCTTGGAATCATTAATGGGATTTAAAAAAAAAAAATTTATAAATTGGTGAGAGAACTCTGGTGGCCTAGTAGGTAAGGAGTTGTGCTGCCAACATAGAGACACACAGTTCGGATCCACCAGTTGTTCCTCAGAAGAAGGACGGACAGCCTTCTTTTGTGCAGTTTACAACCTCTGAAACTCCTCTGGGTGGTCAACTATATATGAGTTGCTTCTGACTCAGTGGCACATAATGACATAAATTAGTGTTACCTTCTGGTAGTTAGAGAATTTGTAGTGTGAGTAAATCTGAATCTAGTTTATGAGTGAATCCTCTTGTGTTTTTCTTCTACATACTGTGAATTGTTTGGAACACAATTATCTCTTAGAGAAAAGTTGCAAGTATAAAATACAGTGAGCTTTTTTCCTGAATTGATCGTGAAGTGCCAACGTTATTTTATGAACACTATGGAATAGTTTAGAATGAATATTTTTTAGCGAGTACGGAACAATCCACAAACTCAGAAAATAGTGAAGTATTAATACAGCCAAATTCTGAGACTCTCGTATTACATTTTGCTGTCAGGTTTCTTAGAATCCTCCGTTCTGAATTCTGAAATGATTCTTCTGTTTCCCCCAGAGTTTCATGGCCTTGACACTTCTGAAAATTACAGACCAGTAATTTTGTAGAGTTGCTCTCAATTTGGAATTGTCTTCATTCTCAACCTGGATTTTCTGTAGATTTAGATGCAGCGTCATGTGTTTTTGACAGGAAATACTGACCGGAATATTAACATTAACTGTTGTGGCTCTTGCTCATATCATATTGGATATATTCTTGGACCATGTTTTTTGAGATATAGGAAAAACAGCTTTAGCAGCTCAGTGTCATTAAAAATTAACTGCAAAGAACTAGCATTTGATAACTGTGCCTCTTGAAAAAATAGAACAAAATTTTAAAGAAATTTGTTGTATTATGCTTATTGTTGTTACAGTACTGAGTTGAAAATTTAGATGAGTTTTTTTATCTGCCAAGAGTAAATGAGATTGGAAAAGTCTGCATTTTTAAAGAGTGTACATGGCAAAATTGTTCATGTACAATTTAGTGACATGGACTACATTCTTCGAATTGTGCACTTACTCTAATTCTCCCTTTCTGAGTTGTGCCTCGTTCAGTAACATACATTTTATTAATGTCTTCCCAAATGCTTCTGTCTAATTTTTCCAATTGCTTTTCTCCATTTGACAGCATCTAATGTTGTTGTTAAGTGCCATCGAGTCTTAGCTGCCCTATAAATGAAAACCATGGACACTTGTATAACTTTGGTCGTTTCTACATGTTCACAGAGTTTTTGGAGGCAAACCATTCGGGAAGTGGATGCCACTCCTTCTTCCAAGCTTGTTTTACTCAATCTCCACCACTGTCCACCCTGGGTAACCATTATCGCATTTGGCACATCAGTGTTACAGTGTTTAGCATCACAGCAACCACTAGTTACTTCTGTACAGCAATGCACAGACCACTTAGAAGGACATTTGACCCCCCAAAAAACCCAATTTTTAAATTATTTTTAATTACAGCCTGAGGCCCACAGATTAAAATCACCCACCTTGGCCTTGGTAGCGTTAACTTTCTGTTCACTAGGACAACATAGCTCTCTCTCTGTTGTCGTTGTTAAGTGGCGAGGACTCATAGCGACCCATGTTGTTAGGTGTCATCAAGTTGGTTCTGACTTCTGGAGATCCAGACCTGCAACTTCCTTACAGCCTTCGACATTGTTTGAGCCCACAGTTGCAGCTCCTGTGTCAGTCCATCGTGTTGAGGGTCTTCTGTCATATGCGTGATGAGATGTTCTCTTGGAATTTATCATCCCTCCGGATAATATGTCCAGAGTAAGGGAGATAAAGATGATAGAACACTAGCTTCAGGTGCTCACCCATCATCCATGGCTCCAGAAAATCTGCAGTTCATGAGTATTTGAAATTCTATTCTGCATATCCTCCATTTGGTCAGATTTCTTCTCTAAAATCTTTGATCTAAGTGTTCACTTAAGTGTAGCAGAGCACCATCCAGTTCTTTTGGTCATTGTGGAGGTATTTAGCACACAGTACACAACTCACTGCTCTTAAGTTGGTTTAGACTTTGAGAGATCCTCCTCCTTTGGGTTTTTTTCCCTTCTCATCCCAGTTTTCGTAAGAGTCTCTGGTGTAGTGTGTTGACCCAACGGTGGTGCCTCTCTGGCAGTTTGACTTCTCCAGCTGCACACTGGGTGGAAGATGGGAAATCCTCTCCCCTGCTTTATGGCTTCCAGAAAACCCACCCGAGGTTCAGCTGGGAGTCACTTCTAACTCCAAGGTTTGGAGTGTGAGTTTTTGTTTGAGTGACTTCAAGGGAGAGAGAGATGGTCTTTTTCCTCCCATGCAATTCACAGCCTTTCAAATGCTAGGTCAGCTATGAATCTGTTGACTTAATGACAGTGAGTTGAGGGAGAATTTTCCTAGATTTATACTTTGTACATTCCACATTCCATTTATTATGGATGTTTTCCGTTGTTGCTCTTTAAGTCTTGCCACTTCAGCAAATGAAGGGCTTTGATTGAGTAAAACCTTTACCCATTGCCATTGATGCATTAAGGTGACGTGTTTTGAGTGAGCTTCATCTCTTCCCCAGTTGCAGAGTAGTAATTTGAGTGCCTTCCAATCTGAGGGCCTCATCTTCTGGCACTGTATTGTGCTGCTATTTATAACATTTCCAACAGCTTATTTTAGCAGTCAGGCCTGCTTTCTCATTTGTCTTAGTAGTGTGGAAGCACCCACGAAAACCTGTTCATCATGGGTGAGCTTGCTGGTTGTTAGGTTTTCGCACTGAACGGAAGGCCAAGAACTCAAGGAAGGGACTAGAGAAAGAAAGGAAGTTAAGCCTTATTAAGGGGTCTCCAGGGTGGGATTCCTTGGTCTGCAGAGGGAGGAACAGGCAGAGGGCACAGACCAAGGAAATAAAAGGGGATTAGGGCAGGTTTTATAGTGAGGGTCTTCAGGGAGAGAAGGGAGGACCATTCCATTGTGGGTTAGTCAGGTGGATGGTCTCTTAGGGAGGGAAGAGAGTGACACTCCATGGTAGTTTAGGCTGTTCGTTTCTGAATGTCTTAATCTTTTTTCCTTTTTTCTTTTTTAGGCATAAACGTGTGCTTGACTTAGTGAATTGTAGTTTTCTAAACATATCTTTTTTTCTTCTCAAGCATGGGTGGTAAAATACCTCCTGCTACTCATAAAGCTAAATCAGAAGAAAATGCCAAGGTAGGTTATAAATCTCATTTGTGTTTTTAATAAAATCCTGTAAGGTTGCTTGGGGATATATTTTAATTGCTCTCAAGTTACCACTTTTCATTTTCCCCAGGGACGCTTAAAAATAAGGGTTTTGTAAAATTTGTTTCAAGAACAGATCTCTGAAATCTAGTTTTAATAGAATCTTGGATTGAATGTATATTATGCTTTTGGGTGAATATCATATATTTCCTATGTCTGGCTTGTAAACGTTCTACTCTGAAGGTATGCCTTTGTAGTCTTCATCATTAGACCTTTGACACCTCTTATCCATGTATTTATATTTGCTAAGTGAATGAGGAGAAATGTGGGGTCAAGATTGGTGGACGATTTATCAACAACCTGCGTTACGTGGATGACACAACCCTGCTTGCTGAGACTGAAGAGGACCTGAAGCGCCTGCTGCAGAGTGTCAAGGACTGCAGCCTACAATATGGATTGAGGCTCAATGTCAAGAAGACAAAGATTCTCACCACTGGACCAATCGGCAGCATCAGGATGGATGGTGAAGGGATTGAGATTGTACACAGCTTTAGTTTGCTTGGCTCCATAGTCAATAGTCTTGGCACCAGCAGCCAGGAAATCAAAAGGCGCATTGCCATGGGAAAGTCTGCTGTTAGGGACCGCTCCAAAGTACTGAAGAGCAATGGTGTCTCTCTGGAGACTAAGGTGCGTCTGATACAGGCTTTGGTCTTCCCAATGACTTGTTTTATGCATCAGAGAGTTGGACAGTGACCAAGGAGGATAGAAGGAGAATTGATGCCTTTGAGCTGTGGTGCTGGAGAAGAGTATTGAGAATACCATGGACTGCTAGGAAAACAAACAGATTTGTCCTGAAAAGGGTTAAACCAGGTGGCTCCTTGGAGGCAAGGATTCTGAGGCTCCGTCTAACATACTTTGGACATGTTGTGAGGAGAGACCGGTCCTTGGAGAAGGACATCATGCTTGGGAGGGTGGAGGGACAGCGCAGGAGAGGAAGGCCCTCTATGAGGTGGATTGATTCAGTGACTGGGATAATTGGGATGGGAGTGTCAGAGACAGTGCAATTGGCATAGGACAGAGTGGAGTTTAAGGCTGTTGTACATAGGGTCGCTATGAGTCGCAGGCGACTCGACGGCACATAACAACAACAAGTGAATGAGCATGTAACCCAAATCAAGAACTCCTGATTTGTTTGTTTGTTCCATCTAAGACATGCTTCAGAGCATAATTATGAAACAGCGGGTGGTGCGTATATGTATGTAAGGTTAGGAAGGAGGTTGTCAGTTGCTAAAGTTTAGGGATGAGGAGGAAATGTTTCAGAACATGTCCTTCAAAGTTCTTCTCTCTCTCTCTATATATATATATATGTATATATGTATGTATGTATGTATGTAAATTTTACAGTCTAGATGGTCCCCTCATTTCCCACCTCCAGGTCTTTTACTTTCTCAAGTTGAAATTTGCTTTTTTTACTAAAAGGCAACATACGTTCTTTCTATTAACTGAAATGAGAAAAATTCAGAAACAAAAGCTCAGCAAATTGTTTTCCTTTCAGGTGAGTCATTTCTCAGTTTGGTAGTTTCTGAGCCATAGGTAAGATCTTGCACTGTATCTCTTGTATGAAAACAAAACTATATTTCATCTGTATCTTTGCTAAAATTTTTGTAGTAATACTTTTATTTATAATAATGAATAATATTTTTCTCACTATCTGCCAGAGCATGCATGTTGCTGTTGTGTGCTGTGTGCTGTCAAGTCAGAGCCAACCCTCCCAGGGATTTTCAGAGGCAGTTAATTGCATGGGGAGAGATTGCTCTCTTTTCTCCCTCAGAGAAGCTAGTGGATTCGAACCACGGGTCTTTGAAATGCAGTGCACATTCTTACCATGGAGCCATCAGAGATTTACAAATACTTAAAAAGTTGGGACATTGATCCCAATTTTTATAAACAAAGGGGGAAACAACCTAAATAACTGGTTAAATAACTTATAATACCCTCATAAAGTAGAATGCATAAAGGTGGGCTGATGATGGTAATTGTTGACGGTAGAGATTTGTTAAGTGTAAAAGGCAGGGGGAAGGATTGTCTTATATACAGGGAGAATTACGTGCTGGTGGCTTATAGGATGCAAAGGAAATTTGATTTCCATTGTTTGGGAATTACAGTTCCACAACAGGAAATGTATTAGGCTGTTTAGAGTTTTTTAGTCTTATGAGTACTCAAGCCTTATTTTACAGAAACACTCATGTATTATGGAGAGTTATTGGCTAACCTGTCTGCATAGTTTACTGTTAACCAGTTGCATTAGCTTTCTAAAATCCAATTTCTTGAATTCCAAAAAATGTAACTCAAAAGATTTGGATGAAGGGCTAGATTGAAATGTAATTTTTTAAAAGGTTGTCAGTACAAGAAAAGTGAAATGTATTATACATGAATAACTTCCACATAAACATGTATTATTCAGTGTATAGGGTTTTGTCATGAAATACTAATAGCATTGTTTGTCTTCTCTCTGCTAGGAACAAAAACCAGATAGCAAGAAGCCAGAGGAAGACTTAAAGACAGATGAGCCATCAAGTGAGGAAAGTGATCTAGGTAAGGAGAGGTTTGTGCTTTTTTAAAAAAATGTATTTGTTTATTTACATTTTAATGAAAGTTTATAAAGAACTTGGATTTCCATTCATTCATTGTTGCACATGAGGGTTGTGCTTTTTAGGGGAGGGTTCTGTGTTGACTTTCTTAGGAAAAATGGCTGTATTGGCACAGATACAAAGACATGTCGAGCCACTTAAAAAATTGTAAAAAGGAGGGAGCTCTGGTGGCCTAGTGGCAAGAAGCTGCACTGCAATTCCAGAGGTAATGTGGTTTGAACTCCCCAGATGCTTTGCTGGAGAAGGAGGAGCAATCTCCTTCTGGACTGTAAAAAGGAACAGCTGAAATTAGTTTGAATAATGTATTTAAGCCAGTGTATCTAAACAGTGTTTTAACATGTGGTAAGTATAAAATAATTAATGAAATCTTGCTCTTAGCACATCTTGTTTCATTACCACATGTCTGGAATCAGAACCTACTTCTCCACATCCAGTTGTCATTAGGGTGACTCTGACTCCTGCTAGTCTGGAACTCCATTGGAGTTTCTGGCTTGAGTAAGTGTGGGTGTGGGGTTGTGTGTTGTCAAGTCAGAACCAACTCACAGCTGATGCACCAGTGTTTTTTCAGAGGCTGTGAATCACATAGGAGGAGATTGTCCATCCTTCTGTGGGTAAATTTGAACCACATGCCTTTGGGATTGCTATGCAGCTTCTTACCCACAAGGCCACCAGAGCTCCCCACTATACATGAGTTTTATAGTTGACTTTCTAGAACTAGATCACAGAGTCTTTCTTTCCAGCCTCCTATATTTTGGTTGACATTGGATTGTGAAAAGTTTCAGTGTAACTTTTTGTATCTTTTAATTATAACAAACTTCTTTTCAGTGGAGCTCCATAATATGCAGAATAATACCTGAGAAAATGGCAGATCACTTCCTTTTTTCTTGTTATTGTTGCGTGTTTTTGTTTTGTTTTGGAGGGTATATTTGGGGGTTGGGGTTTTTTTTCCTGTTTAAAAGAACACGAGTATTTCCCAAGAAAATTTGAATTGATATTAACAGTAAAGTTTTGACACAACTCTTAAAATATTCAACCACTCACTACGTGTTAGTAGAGAAATAGACAATAATTAGTCGTCTCCAGAATGAAATCAAATGCTCCATAAATGAATAGTATTGCATAGCATTTGCATACGTAAACTTAATAATTATCTCCCTGGTACTTTTTATAGAGTGTGATTCAGAAAACAGATCATAAAATGTTTTCCATGTACATCAGTCATACAATGAAAGTAAATAAAACGTCAGTCTCTCATCAAATTTTAGTCAGTACAGACTTCTTACCTGGAAACTAAAGGAAAAGTAGTGACAGCATTTCAGATCTTTAAATTGTTAGAAAAGTTTCACATTCTACTGGCAATTGTTTTTTGGAAGATCATCCACTTTTTGTAGAAATAAGCCTTTTAAAAAAATCTTTGTCATACTTTTTTAACAGTTTCTAAGTCTGTGACCATTTTTTCAAATCAAGTTTCTAAATACAGATAATTTTACTATTGTGCATGAAACAAGCTGTTTTCATGGGTAGACTTTATTAGTTATTCAGTTCTCATTTTTCCCGTTTCTTTAAAAAAAAAAAATCTTGTTTTGTTTATCATTGAATCAGAACTGACTGTCACAGGAGGAGACTGCCCCTCCTTCTCCAGTGGGACATCTGGTGAATTTAAACTGACCGGTTTAGGATTGCAGCGCAGCTTCTTGCCACTAGGCCACCAGAGCTCTCTTTCTCCCATTTTTAAAATTGTGATTTTAATGAAAATTTATAAAAAAGTTTGATTTTTCAGGGGAGCGGTGTCACCACCCCGACACTCTGCCCTTCTCCAGCCCTTTGGACTGCTTAAATTTTATTTTTGTGCCACACACACAAAAAAAGTTTGATTTTCATTCATTCATGGTTGCACATTTTCCTCCCTACCTGCTGCCAGTTGACTTTTTTAGAAGAAAGAAAATATTCATTGTCAGTTCTCATTTTGGTGGCTTACTTAGCTTTTTTTTTTTTTTAACTACAGAGAGAAAACTTACCCGATTCTCTAATAATTTGCTTTAAATGTATCAATATTAATATATTTAGACTTTGTTATATATAACAATTGTTTTCCTGTGTTTTGCAAATTTCTAGCGTCATACACCTTGAAATTTGCAACTTTTCAGTGTCTTCTGTTTTGTTTTTAGCATTGTCTTTGGAACATGATTGTGCATTAGCACTTAGCCTTTATTTTAAATTTAAAAATTTGTCTATAATAGTTGTTTTTGTGTGTGGATTTTTTTTTTTTTTGTGTGTGTGTGTGTGTGTGTACTGTCAAATTGGATATGACTGGTACAGGAGGAGGTTGCCCCTCCTTCTCCAGCATAACATCTGGTGGATTTGAACCATATACCTCTGTGATTGCAGTACAGCTTCTTGGTACAGCTTCTTGCTGCTAGACCGCCAGAGCTTCCTCAAAAAATTTCTGTAATAGTTTTAAAACAAAATATATTAAAATTAACTGATTTATACCAAAGATATATTAATTTTTGCTGTGTACATAGAATATTTTTAAAAAACCATGTTATATCAATGTATTGGAAAAAATTAGTGAGTTGAATCAGCTCAGTGATTCAGTTCATTTGAATCAGTTCAGTTTATCTCTGTGTGTATAGCACCTGGTACATGCCAGCATTTACACCACAATATTACGATAACTTTCTTACATGGTGAGGAGGTAAAATTGAAATTTAATCTAACCAAAATTGTGAAGTTGTATTTAATGGAAGAGTATTTTAAAATAAGTCTTCAGTATTTAGGTGTAAATGAATATAATCGGTTTCTGTTTCTCTGTTACATGTTGCATTAAGTCACATTTAAAAATTACAATATCTTTATATGACTAGTGGCAACTGTAGTAGACATGACAACTCTTAATGGCATATTTTAAACTTTGACAGAAATTGATAATGAAGGTGTGATTGAACCAGACACTGATGCCCCTCAGGAAATGGGAGATGAAAATGTAGAGGTATGTTCAATGACATGTATTCCTTATTAAAATGAATAGGAAAATTCCGCCTTTTCCAATAATTTTATTATATGACTCTTCTAGGAAAAAGACCCATTTTTTACTTTAGTACTTTTACTTATCTCAACAAAATTGTACTTCAGTGTAAAATTCAGTGCTGTGTTCTCTAAAAAAGCAAAATTGTTGATACATGTAAGATTTTTAATTTAAGACATACGTAAAATTTTTTGTTGTTTTTACATGAAGCGAAAAATGGATTTTAGAGAGTAGCAGATCTCATGTCTATTGGTCAGACAGACCTTAGGAGGACGACGTCTGTAGACTGACAGGTTCAAATCTAGAAGTAGCCAGAGGTAACATCCAGTGAAAAAAGGTGGCCAGCGTTTCCAGTCTAGATATACTTGGTGAAGGCCACAGCCCTAAGGGGACTTCTACATGACGTCTAGGTAGTCATGTCATAATGCATTGCTTATAAGCTTGCTTCATTTATGTTATAAATGCAGCTCTCTCCTCATGTTCCATTAATACATGCAAAATTAAAGAGAATAGTCATGTTGTTGAAAAGATTTCTTCTTGAGCTACCCAGTTTTCCTCTCTGTGTATAATCTGACATTCAAAAATGACTGCAAAAGAAAATGAGGCTATCTTGACTAGACACACATTGAGACACAATTTTAACCACCACGTGTGTTTGCTAATTTTTACACTCTATTGATGGGGTACAAATAGAATCCATTTCAGTCCCGTCTGCACATAACTGTCTTCTAGATTACTTAGTGTAGACATGTGAATGGTTCCTTCTATGTTGTATTTGTTGAAACATTTCAGTTGATGTTCTTGTCAGTTGCTAGGGGCTTTCCTTTTGCCAGTGAAGTCTGGTTTTTTTTCCCTTTTAGTACCATGGCTTTTTGGTCAGATGCTGCCTTCTGCAGTGGTTGAATGTTGATCGCTCTGTAGTCCTTCCATCTTTTGATGCTTTCTTTGTCATTCAGTAATTTATCACTCGTTTGTTGCTGTTATGTACCGCTGGGATGGAACCAACCTGATCCTTCAGCAGGGTTTCTGACTCAGATAATCACATGGGAAGAGATTTCCCATCATTCTGCTGCACAGCTTCTTACCACTTGCCAGCCATGCAGTTTGAATCCATCAGCTGCTCTGCAGGAGAAGGATGAGTAGTCTCTACCTAGGCGATGAACTGCCTCTGAGAACCTGCTGGAGGGGTCAACTATGGGTTGGTTTGGACCAACAGTAAACAACTACTACTCCTTGCCATAGAGTTGGAATTTATCAGTAGTATCCTTAAATATTGCACTTACGGTGTTTTTGTTGTTATTTTAGCTGAATGTTTACTTTTATCTCCACATTTTTATCTTTTTTAACATTAATTTGAGGTCATACAGTATTTGTCCTTTTGCAATTAACTTTCTGTGCTTGGCATTAGGTCTTAAGGCTCTGTCCATACTGTAATGTGTACTGAGACTTCCCTTCTGCTGGATGACTAGTAGTCCATTGTGTGCATGTTTCATGTTTGGGTATTCATTTGTCCGTTGATATACAGTTAGGTTGTTTCTCCCTTTTGGCCTTTGTGAATAGGGCTCCATAACCATGGGCCTCAAAGTGCCTGCTTAGAGATTCCCTTATCTTGCGCTCACTTGTAGGAAAATACCACGGTAGTAAAGAAAAGAGATTTTGTTAGGTAAGAACACCTGAAGCTCTTGCTGCAGAAGGTCAAGGACTTTAGTCTCAATGTGTATTGAAGCTCAGCATCAAAAAGACAAAGATACTCACCATTGGACCAATTGGCAGTGCCATAATAGATGGAGAAGAGATTGAGGTTGCAACACTCTTGGCCCCAGGAGTCAGGAAATCAAAAGATGAATTGCACTGGGAAAATTTGCTATATATACCTCTCCAGAGTATTGAGAAACAGTGATGTCAGAGACTAAGGTATGCCTGATCCAGGCTGTTTTTCACATTTGCTTGCCATGTATCAGAAAGCTGAACATTCACTAATGACAGAAGAAAAATCGATGCCTTTAGGGGAGCTCTGGTGGCCTAGTGGCAAAAAGCTGCACTGCAATCCCAGAGATACTCGGTTTGAATCCACCAGATGCTCTACTGGAAAAGGAGGGGCAATCTCCTCCTGTACCAGTCAGATCCAATTTGACGGTACAGCAACCACACAAAAAGAATCAATACCTTTTCATTGTGGTGCTGGGAAAGAGTCTTGAACATATTATGGATTGCAAAAAAAAAAACCAAGTCTGTCTTAGAAACAAAGTTTCTCCTTGAAGGTTAGAATTATATTTTTATTATTATTATTATTATTATTAGTGTGCATGTACCGTCAAATCAGATCTGACTGGTACAGGAGGAGATTGTCCCTCCTTACCTGGCAGAGCATCTGGTGGATTTGAACCATGAGCCTCTGGGATTGCAGTACAGGTTCTTGCCTCTAGGCCACCAGAGCTCGAAGGTTAGAATTTTGAAGCTGTCTCATATTCTTTGTGCACCTGGCCAGAGAGACCTGTTCTTGGAGAAGGACATCCTGCTCAGAAGCAGACAGCACAGGAGAGGAAGACCCTGGATGAGGTGGATTGATAACAGGACAGAGGGGGTTGGTGGGTCGGAATTAGTGAGACTGGCTCGGGACAGGGCAGGCTTCAGAGCTGTTGCACATAGGGTTGTTGTGGGTCAAAGGTGGCTCGACGGCACATAACAACTCAGCACATAACTATAGCATGTACAGTAAAGAGGGAGCACTGGTAGCCTAGTGGTGAGTTGTTGAACTCTTAACCTGAAGGCATGTGGTTCGAATCAACCAGCTGCTCCCCAGGAGAAAGATGAACAGTTTTCCTCCTATGCAATTTACTGACTCTGTAAACTTGATGGAGGGTCAGCTAGTAATCTCTTCTCATTACAGGGCACATAACAACATACAGTAAAGATAAAAGGGTGGGAGACATGTTGTTGTTGTTGTTAATGTGCTGTCGAGTTGTCTGCGACTCAGAGACCCCGTGTACAACAACCCTAAACCCTGCTCTATCCTGTGCCAGTCTCACTGTCTCCGACACACCTAACCCATTACCCTAGTTACTAAATCAATCCATCTCATAGAGGGTCTTCCTCTCCTGCACTGATCCTCCACCCTCCCAAGTGTGACGTCCCTCTGCAAGGACTGATCCCTCCTTGCAACATGTCCACAATATGTCAGATGAAGCTTCAGAATCATTGCCACCAAGGAGCAGCCTGGTATAACACTCAACAGGACGAACCGTAGCAGTTCATTCCCTTAGCAGTCCTTGGTTTATTCAGTAGTTTTCTCCAGCACCACAGCTCAAAGTCATCAGTTCTTCTTCTATCATCCTTCTCTCAGTTCTTCTATTAAAAGAAGATGGAAGAAATATAGTCATTGTACCAAAAGGAATTGGCAGACACAGAAGATTTTCATGAAACAACATATGATGTAATGAAGGAAGAAGTTCAGGTGTCTTTGAAAGAATTGGGAATTGATGGTATAACAATTAACCTATTTCTACTAACAGATACTGTCCTAGATGTGCTCACCAAATTTGTGCCAAGAAATCCAGAGAACAAACACTGACTAGAAGAGATCTTTGTTCCCATTCCAAAGAAAGGTGATCCAACAGAGTCTGGAAATTACCGAACAATATCCTTAATATCACATGCAATCAATATTCTGCTGAAGATTATCCAAAAACGACTGGAAAAGCATATCAACAGAAAACTGCAAGAAGTGTAAGCTGGGTTTAGAAGGGGTCTTGGTGGTGGTTGTTGTTTTTATGTGCTGTCGAGTCGTTTCCGACTCATAGCGACCCTATGCACAACAGCCTTAACCCTGCTCTATCCTGCGACAACCGCACCGCCTCTGACACACCCATCCCGATTACCCCAGTCACCGAGTCAATCCATCTCATAGAGGGTCTTCCCCTCCTGCGCCGTCCCTCCACCCTCCCAAGCATGATGTCCCTCTCCAAGGACCCGTCCCTTCTGGCAACAT